GTATCGGTGGCGTTATCGCCACCCTCTATTTCTAGACTATTTTAAGTCGAATGACTTCCATCAAAAATACTTTTGCTAGTGAGATTACTTACGAGTTAGTACTGCAGAATAACACTTATTTTCCTTAATATCACTGTTGTTCGCCGGAGCTGAGTCGAATTTGTTAACTTTTATTATCTTTTATATTTAGCTTTATTTAGAAATTACTTATGTCACAAATCACGTTTCACTATTGAAATAAATAACACGTAAGTCCACTCATCTAATATTTCATACAATGAACGAAATACTGAAGCAAACATTTAAAGTATGTAATAATATTAATTTATCATTTCAAAAATATTACAATTAAATCTATTCAATTTTAAATGAAGTCACAAAGTAAACTTGCATTATAGGAATTTTTGAAATAATGGAATTATTAATGTTCGCCTACATTTTTTAGGTGTTTGAAACGTGAAGTCATTATTACACATTATAAGTCTGAGAGCAAATAGCCAAAATTTGGGAAGGCATCTTCTCACGGCTAGTCCCATCAGACGCGAACACAAACGGAAACGTTTCACTGTCACTGCTGTCTCCAGACTGGGAGCCAATCGGCGTCTTGTTGATCTCGAAATGATCTTCATTTGTTTCCGTTTTATGTCACCCTATTGAGTAGCTTTGGTACTAATCTATCCTAAATACGTGATTCATATTCTGAGCTTGCGTACTTGGCGGAAGTTTCCTCATCATATCATTCTTATGCACTGCGTTCACCTTTCCGCGCAGCTAAAGTTACGAGGCACTAACTATATAATTACGTGTAAGACACAGAAGCCAAGAATTGTTTTGACAAAGAGATAAATTCCCGAATATTATTATCGTCTGGGATATGATGCTCAGCCATCTGGTATAAAATTGATCGACGTTTCGGAGGAATATGTTGACTTCATATTCAGGATCGAAGAGTAAGTGAAGCAAGCTGCCATCAGAGAAGTATCTTCCTCCGGAACGTTGCTAAACTTCAGCCAGACTACACGGCATCATATCCCATAGTCACAGCCACGAGATCCTGAAATGTAAAAAAAAAAAAAATACCTCGTTCTATTGGTTGATAGTTCTTACTTGAAAAAGAAAATCCTGTATTACTT